CTGCTGGTTAGAAATACCTTTACAAATCCCCTACACTGCAATAACCACAAGCTTCTAAGTGGTAGTGATATGTGCCTTCACAGTCACACAACAGTAAGCTTTGACACCTTTCCTCAAAACAAGGTTGTCCTCGCTTGAGGCTGACAATTTAAGCATTACCTAGTTTTCTACTCCAGTTTAGACTACCTGAACCCACTACCTTACGCAACACTGAGGTCTACCATGCAACTTGCAAAATTAGCAAGTCTCAAAAGCATTACTCTGAAAGAGTTGGCTATAAAGTAGTTTCCACAGACCATCTTTCTTCTGAAAACAAAAAGAACCATGAAAGACAGAAGTATTTTGTGGTGAGACAAAGAGCATTTCCCTTAAACTCACTAACTTACCCTTAATTCTCCCATTCATCATCTTAAGCTGCAGGCATCTGCAGCTGTACATAGACTGCCACCTTCCCATTTGGCTACATCTCTTACTGAATCACCAACTCTGTACTGAGCAGTAATCACAGCCTTTCGGTATTATCCAGCTGGTCTGTGACACCCTTCTTACACTGGCTAGGTACTTTTACAGACTAAGCAGCTGTTTGCCAACTCCTTTCCGTTACCTCACTGTTCAGCCTCCTCTGAAACTACGTTGAGGTTCTGTCTTTCCCTTTCATGCCCTGAGTACATTCTCTGATGAGTTTTTGTATCAGATTGGCATGTTTCAGCTCCCTGAGACAAACTATGAACTAGGCAGCTGCTAAGAAGTCTTCACAGCCAGTTGAGTAAGATAAGACAGCCTTGTATAGCTGCTTAAGATAACATGCATACCCTACAAGTGACAGAGATTCCCAAGGTAGCTCAGGTACCAGAAACAGTTGCCACAGGGAACTGTGAAGGCCAGTTACATGGTCCTACAAAAAGCACAGCTGCAGCAGCCAGAGTCACTCATCTTAACTCACTATTTTTTGTAGTAGAGATCCTAAACTGTACAGCCTTGTCCCAGTCTTTCTCTCTCAACAGTCCTGACAAAACTCTGAGAAAACTCGGTGGTTGTGGTTGTACAAGTCATAATCCCTTGTAGTCACAGAACTTGCAAAGGGGGACACACAGAATGGCACAAGAAGTCCAGGCTTTCCTGTCCGGACACAAAACTTATTTTGTTGAAAGATAACAGAAACAGGGAAGAGATGGTCTCAATTTAGTGCCTGAAATACACACTTACAAATGTTTCTGAAAAGTCAGCAGGATTATTTTAAACAACAGATTTCAAAAAGTACAGCATAAGAGATGATAGATTTTAAAAGCAAGCATCATTTTTAGAGGTAACACTTTTAAGTAAACAAGTGACAGTGTTCTACAGACACCATGTTGCAGCAGTAGACAGGCAAAACAGACACTAAAATCTCAATTAGAAACTAAATTATCCAACTGGGATGCACAACACTGAAGTATTTCTGTATAAGATCAAAACATTCAGACAGATTAATTGTACCAGTGTTGTTTTCCTACTTTTAACAAAAGTCTCTAGGTAGACAAATTAACATTTTTCAGTTTGTGAGTTTACAAACAGTTACCCAATTATGGAGACTGTGGAGCTAAAGATAATCAAGGATTTTACAGAGGCTTAGTCATGTGAGTCCTACTTCAGTTTTGCTATGTGAGTCCCTTTTAGCACTATAGAAAAACAAATCGAGATTTTATTTCCACTGCAAGGCAACAGCAAGAATACAAAACACCAACAATATGTTCTTTTATGGCTAATAGAATTTGCTTGCATACAGATCTGGGTTTTAACTTAATGCACTGTTACTGAAAAGATTCTGTGGGCCCTTTAAAATAATTTTTGTAAGCATTTTATATATTTAGTAAATGTTTGAGGCAAGCAAATGAGAATGACATTCTGTACATAATTATTTACGAAACTTAGCAGTAATATTTCAACACACAGTGAAAGGAAAAGACTAATGTTTGGACCATTAATAAGAAAGCTACTGCTTTGGCATCTCAATTTCAATTCTCAAAGTAAAGACATTTTCAATCTATTAGAAGGGTTGCTAAGAGAAGCCTTGTACTCTGTAGGGAGTCTACAATACAATAGCCTTTTGTCTGAGAAAATTCAGTTTTTCTGGCAATAAAATATCATCTGGCTTCTTTCTCCAGTTTCTTTAATTTCACTGCTTGGTAGCAGTTAAGGTATATCCAACATGCTGACAATATTTTGTTTTACTCCATTGAACATCAGGTTCAAGTCTCTCATTGCAGTCTGTGTGGAAGAAAACTAGCTTTTAAGAATACATGAGTAGTAAGAGACTACACCTTACTCACACATTAAATCTAAACCAAATCAACAGCAGTAATCCATTAAAACTATATAAAAAGCTATCTACCACTGTAAGGTATGAAGCTGAAATTCAGTGGCAAATCGGAAATATTAAGTAGATATAAATTTTATTGTCTCACTCTCCAGATCTTCGGACCTAGATTAAACCTCTCATATTTCATCTCAGAGAATTTGCAAACATCGTACACATAGCACAGGCTGCAGCAGAAATGGCAAAGGAGGGAGGAGCAGTTCCAAGCCCCATCCTCTGGCTCATAATGGCTTGGATCTGTTATCGTTAGAGATCAAAACATTCAGTCTTTTTATGGCTGAGAAAACAGATCTATTTTTACAACAAATAACCTGGCATCAAACCGCTGAGAAAATTAGCTAGTTCACACTGCAGAACAAAACAATTTTGCCATGACATAAAGCAGCCTTTTCTTGTTAAATACCCAACAGGTTCAGATACCTGTAAGCTCAATCTCTTTTACAGAGCAAATCCAAATACAATCAGTGCTTTATAACCACTTCAGGCATATCCCCAAAAGCTATAAAGCATCTGACAGAGAGTTTAAGTCAGGCTTAGTATTTTACTCAGAATTAGGAATCTGAGAGAACCATTTTTCTTTACTGGGGGGAAAAAAACCCTCACATCTCCCTGTCTGAAAGTTGCTTTCAAAACACGAAAATATTTAAAATGCATTTCATATCAAATTCCTCTTTCACAACCTATGAAAATACTGAAAACGTATTAAATACGCTTAATATGCTCTTAAATAAAGAGAAGCATAGCTGTAACAAGAATAATTTTAAGAAATATGAGCTAACAGAGAAAGGAAGAAGTTACGGCAGAAGTGATCTTGAAGGTCAACTAGATTGTGTTCACAGCTTCAAAGCACGCTGTTTCTGCAGCTGTCTTCAGACAGTCACCGGACCTGGACTAGAATTCTAGAGCCAGACACACCTCCCAGTAATTTGACACATTTGGTAAATGTCAAATGATCTATGTAATATTAAATAACGTGCATATTCTAAGAAATGTCATTGCACTTAAAAAAATTTCACTTCACACTCTGTGACATTGAAATTTAATGACTTGCAGCAAGGAGACCTCAACCAGCCTTGTCTAGAAAAAGAAACTTGACAGAATACAAGCCAAGTACAAATGCACCAATGCACACGTGCAGCCCAAAAAGACCTGAGAATATGCAAATAAAAGTTAGTTAAAAATATAAAGTTAAAGCATGAAAGAGAAATGATTTAGGAGATAACATAGACCATGGTGCCTTCAGGAAATAAGCTCCTGGTAAAAAGTTGTCATGGATGATAGCTAGAAGAAACAAATGCAGAAGTAGTTTAATTGAGTGCAGATGATTATTTCACCACTGCACATTCATAATTAGTACTGTTAAGAGACAATATTCCATCTACCTCCATACTTCTCTATAGCACCTCAGTCTCCTGACCTCAGCTTATTTTGCAGCATCCACATAAGTTTCTGTATGCTTTTGCCCCATATCACTGGTCTATTTATTAACTGTTCAGGTCAGGACCATATATTACCCTTAGTTTATTGGAGCACCAGCAGAAATGAGCCCCATTCCAAGGTTCCTCCCTTGGTCCTGCTAGTCTGTAAAGAAAAATGGCCCTCCAGGATGACTAGTAAGAGTTCAACAGCGGTGAGTAAATATCTAGCAGTTAAGAGAACAAAAATAAAAAATAATAAACTTGCATGAAAATATAACTACTCTATTTAACTATAAAATACTAGGAGGTTTGAAAGAAAGTGCAGTTCTAAAGGAATAAGAGAGCAAGACTTCTAAACCTTGCCCTTTTGTATGCCCTCTTGCATAGCTATCCTGTGACAGTCATGGACATATTTATGTGTCTATAAAGCAAGGAACATTTGACTAATTGCACAGAAATGTATTTTCAAGACTTACCAAACACAACTAATTAAAACCTCTAACAAGCAACAGTTTAGTCTTCAAAAACCTTACTTCAACAACTTACCATCTGAATTTTGGGGTTTCCCTTCTGACAACAAAAGCCTTTTTACTTGCATCACATTCAAGGTGAAACATATATTACAGTACTGATTAATTTTATCAACATTTACAGTGTACCAAAGTAACTTCTTCCATACTTCAGTGATTCAAGTTAATGGCTGTGAGTTCTTTGAAACTGTTTTCAATTTACAGAGTAATCCCACAGTGCCAGGTACAACCACCATGCATATATTCATGACCCATTTAACAAATAGAACATAGTTCAGGAGTGCTACAAAAAATCCTGGGCAATCACTAGACAAATATACTTGAGAACATTAGTGATGTTAAAATTAAAAGAACATTAATAGCTGTGTCCGGGTCTTATATTTTTCTGCCTCAAATGTTTTGATACACAACTTCTCATAAAAATTACAGTACAGAGCTAATAAGTATAAGGCATACATCCACTTTCATATACATATGCAGACACTTATATGTATTTTTACATGAATTTTGTAGAATATAAATAGATATTTCCCAGTGCTTTCCTTAGACAAAAAAAATCTTTAACAGCAGCTGAAAGATTTATTTTCTAGTTCTTTTTAACACTTACATTAATTCTTAAAGTATTTAAGATTTAAATTTAACGACAACAGCAGTGTAACACAACCATTGTTGCATGACAACTGCATTTAAATATACCTGCTTCTACAGGAATTGGTTTCTCCAGGAGAAAAGCTGTCTGTTTCCAGTGTGTTTTGGCACACTGGGGACCAGTTGAAAACAAGACCTGCAATGGAAGAGTTCAAGAGTTTGATTAAGAACAACATTTCTGATACCACATCACATCAATCAATTACCAAACACACGTGCACTTCAAGTGTTTGCTACAGCAAAATAGACTCACTGCCAAACACCTTGAGGCAGAATGAAATACAAAAAACCCCTCATCTCTCAACAACATTTTTCAAACGCATAACCCCAAATACTCACCTTGTTATGACAGTTCTTCTCAAAAAATACATCAAAATAACCAGCAACTGCCTACAAAAACAGAAAATGCAAACATGATAAAGGAATAATAGTGACACTCAAGAGAAAGTATCATTAATATATACATTTATTGGGATTTCCATGCTTTTAAAGCCTTTAATAACAGGAATAAACTTAGATTTATGCTTTCAAACATACTGGACATTCTAAGACAAAAAAAAGCTGTCATCCTGCCTTTGTTCTACTTGAGAATACTGAGCTCACTATAAGTGCATTATACTGTTCCCAAAATAACCTGCACACCCTAACTGAAACTAGAATTACATAGGAGAAAACAGCCTTTCAGATATGCATACCCAGAGGAATAAAATTCAGCCCTTGTCCTCTATGGCTTCCACGACCCTCACTAAATACAGACAGCACAAGGGATTCTGCATGGTGTGTTCACTCTTTGCATAGCTTAACATCACTTTCCATAAAAGCTCCCTGTGAACAGTGGCAGAGCATAACCAGGCAGGGAATATTTTTCTTTCTCTACTACACAAACACAGATAAGGAAAAAGATTCACAAATGCCTCATGCTGGCCTTTTCAGCATTTAATAGCTTCTAACAGTGACTCTCCATAGGATTCCTCAGAACACTTCTCCTGTCTCTCCTGTCATTCCACTCCTAACCTCAAAGAGCCTCTCTCTTCAGTAATTCATCAACGGGACTTGAAGAGGAAAAGAAATACAAAGTGTCCACACAAACCACTATACCAACACTATTAGTTACACAGTCTAGTACTGGCCTGCTTTTCTGACCAAAAAAGCCTTGTAAGAGTCCCAGAAATTAAAATAATTCAAATAAAGAACTGGAAGATGCTAATAAAAGACAACTCCACAGCTTCACCACTTTAGTCCTGTCCATACTCACCTTTACTTGCTTTCTACTGTCTCCTACAAAAAGGTTAAAGTAAATCAGACCATAGGCTCATGGCAATTTTGCTTTTCTGTGGTATGTCAGCCTGAAGAAGTGACCCAGAATAGTGCTTTTGAGTAACTCTAACCACAGCAGCTGAAGACTCTGTCACTGTGACAGGAGGATGGGACTCTCTCCATGTCAGCTATAATATGCTCAAACAAGATACATACCAACTTAATGATGGCAAGCCCATTGCAAGAAAACTCACTGCAAACAACTGATTATAAACTTCCTTTCACTACACCAGTGTCTTTCTCCTCCTCTAAATCTAGGAAAGTAGTTGTTCTTAATACTTAAAAAGGACAAGTTCTGTAGCCTGCCCTTCACATTAACTCAGAGGTTGATGGTGAAGAACAAAAAAGACGTCAAATATGCTTACAAAATTACGGTAACAAACTGAATGGCAGAGGTCTTTATCATTATTCAATATGTAAACTGAATGATAGCTAAATCATTCTGATATCTTCCCTCTGTAGTCTAAATCCAGAACAGATTTCATGAAGATAGTGGAGAACATGATGTGTTAAAGCAAGTAAGTCTGTGTTAATATACCTGCATTGGCTTTTAAAATAAGGACACTTCAGAGAAGCCTGGAAAGTTCCAAATTCCCATGTGGGCAAATGTTTAAAAAAAAACCCCAAACCGAAAACCACCCCCCCTCGCCAAACAAACAAAAAACCCACAAAGAGACACTTTGTGACAAATAATCACCAGATGTTGGAAATGATGATTCTTCTATCCCTTAAGTGAAGTCCTATCACTCAGTGCTGAGAATCTCATTCCCAAGTGAATTACAGCCTTGTCTCTAGCAAGCCTTTTTGAGTAAAGAGTGAGAAAGTTTTGACAAAGCTTTATTGACCCGTCAGACTACTTCTATTGATGCACAATCTTTTCTGGACATTAGTCAGAGATCTACTAAGTCAAAAATATTTTTCAATCATGTGGTCAATACTGTTGTTATGTTTACAAATAAGACCTAGGATATGATTACTGAAGAAAGGAAAACAAGGTTCAGACAACAAAAACACGTTAAGGATTGAGGGGATAAAAACTGGCTTCCAGAGAAGAGAAGGCAATGAAGCTACATTTTGGCCCAGAAAGCTAACAGCTCCAAGCAGATATACCACAGCTAAGATGGATGCAATTATCTACACACTTGGCAGTAAGAAGTAACAGAAATATCCTACATGCTACCTTAAGAAAATGTCCCCAGATTAGCATGTTTGGGGCATCAAGTTTAGGCTGAATGAAACTGCAGTTACAAGTAAAGAAACTGTCCCCTGCTATTTGCTGCCTCCTGTGCTCAGGGAAACAGAATTTGTAAATGACTAGGACAAAACCACCTTCTTCCATACATTATAGATGGTTTTCCTAACCAAAACAACCTGAAACACTGACTTTAACTATCTAAATCAAGAAATAGTAACAGTAATTATTACACATAACAAAGACGACCTTATTATGCAGAGCTCCAGAGATTACAGAGAAAAGGTGTTCTTCAACGATCCATTAGTAACTTCATGTAGTAACTAGTAACTACATTCTAAAATGAATGTGCCCTTCAACACCAATACTGAAATAACTGTTGGGCCAAAATTTAAAAAAAAAAAATATAGAAAAGTATTCTAACACACAAATTCCTCAAGTCCCTAAGGATAAGCTCCTATGAACAGCTTCAGGAGCTCCCCAAAATTCCTCAAATTTAAGATCTGAAAATTCTTGACTAAAAGCCTAGACCCTTTTCCACACACGTTGTCTCCAGCCAGTCAGTTAAAATTGAGCAGGGGAGCACCTCAGAATCAAAACACACACTCTCAGTGAGCTATGTCAACAGGCAAGGTTAAGATCCCAGTCCTGAATCGCTAAATATCAATTACATGTTTAAAGTTAAATGCACACAGGAGAGAGTTTGAATGATGTTTTGAAAACTAACTTTACGAGCAGATATTGCAAGGTAGAAATCTATTGAGTATCTTATATTAATGTATTTTCAAGCCGTTTCTGAGTCAACTAAAAAAAAAAATCAAACACACACTCACTTGGTCTGACTACTTGTCTTACAAAATTGGTTACAATAATGTAATTTGTTTTTAACAAACACTTTTAGGCAATCAATCATTTACCAACGCTGCGCTTAATCTCCGAATAAAAATATCTCCCCTTATATTTCAAATCCTTAGGAAAACAGAAAGTCTGATACCAAACCCAGTAGTTGCCAACCAGCTGCAAACTTTGTTTAACATTCACTACAGCAGCTATTCTACAAGCCAATTACAGGTGAGGAAATAAAGAAAAGTGAAAATGCACACAGTCTCTGGCTTACCCTGTAAAACAAGAAACCAAACCAAAAGTTTAAACCTGCTACTCAACAGAAGTACAGTTATTTGCATATACCTAGGTAATAAATGTAGGACCAAGTCTATCCGAAAGCCTCCCAGTAACTCCAGCCTAAATTAACTATCTTCTTCCTCTATTCTTGATTTCACATGAAAGATTTCATGTGCTAGATAGCATGTGTTTCCCTGCCAATAACACAGGACTTTAAAGGCACTCAAGTTATCCCAATTATACATTATTTTCATGAAGTAAATTCAGTTGTATTTCTGAACTGACATGTTATAGGAACTTTAAAATTCACCAGCTCTTGTCAAGAAACGACTTGTTCTGTATGGTCCTCTATAGCACATGTACATTTATATGTTCATCGAAACACAACATTGTGCTGAAATTTTTAAACTTGCTATTGACTTTTTAAGACCTTTCTGCTTTTGAGCTGTTTCGTCATACTGAATCTATCCTGGGCCTAAGATCTCAGAACAGCTACACCGATCTCCACAAACTCACTAAAACGAGCACACCTGGCCTTCCTAAAACCCACCAGACAATTTTGTAGAACCAGAAAAGCAATCAGTAAGGACAGTCATCATGAGTTTCAAGGCTGAGATGGTACTGGGCCTATATTAAAGTTTAAACTGGTAAGCAGTTGGCTACTGATATCATTTTCTCTGTTTCCTTTTGCAGCCCATACCACAGATTCCAAAACATTTGTGTATGAAACCGATAATTCAATTAAAAGTTTATCAAAAGAAACAGGTTGGGCTGCTTCTATGCTAAAATATAGGCAAGGCATGCAGGGTTCTCAGCATAGCTCTAAGACCTCTTTGTAGAAAGCAAGTAAGCAGTGGGTGGGTGGGCCTATGTCGGAGAGGATCTTTATTCTTCTCACCCAATTTAATGACTCCTTCATACCAGAAAAGAAGTTGTCAGCTTCTTACAACCACCTAAGCTTTGCTTTAAGCAATCTAGGAGTTCAAAGAACAGACTATTATAGCCTTGCTGTGATGGTCTGGTTTTATTTATCTAGCACAGAATAAACAGAAATATTAACAATTAATTCCCACCACATTTTAAATCCTGAATGTACCTTTTTTCATTACAGCTCAATTTTATAAATATTTTCATATTCAAAGAAGTCAACTGTTCCAGAAGCAGCAAAACATTTTTATATCTGAAATATCTTGTCTATTTTAGAAGATTTCAGTGAAATCATTCTGTAAAAATGAAGTTCAAAACATCTTCCTTTCATTTTACTTTTGAACAGTACCATGAATCGCAGTAGCTGTAACAGTCAACCACAAACTTTTATTAAATATACAATACTACAAAGAAAGACATTTCCAATGTTTGCATCTTGAAGGAAGATTAAGTCTTCTGTTCTTCTTGTAAAATTTAACACATGTAGCTAAGCAGCAAAATATAGAGGAAAAAAATCACAAGTGGCACACTAGAAGCAATCACAGACACAAGCATATTATAATGCCACATAGGGCTAGCCAGGTTTTTATTAAAGGTGTCTTTTTTTTATTTTTCCAAGTAGTCAAACTAAAGAAAAGGAACAAGCAAATAATGCCCCCATAAATTCTAGGGGATGTTTTACAACTACTGCCTTGGTTTCTTTTTTCTTTTTAAGCATATGTTATTTCTTCCACTGCAGTTTTCCTCATCTTTCTGCTCCACCTTTGACAGCTCATTTACAACTTTACCAACGACTAATCAGCAAGAACTTAAGACTTCTCAGGAAGAATCT